ATTGAATTTCCTTGTAAATGATTCATATTTGAAATATTTATCTAATATTTGTTATTTTAGTTAGCAGATAGCAAAAGTCACCAAGAGACGTTAAATTTGGCATTTTTGTTCATGGGCTTTTCCTAAATTAGGAAACACCGGCCTCGGGTTTTTCTGTATGAAAGAGAAGAATGTTCAAATTGTGTTGTGTGTGTGTGTGTGTGTGTGTGTGTGTGTGAGTGTGTGTGTGTGTGTGTGTGTGTGTGTGTGTGTGTTGGGGAGCAGCGATGGTTGTTTATGTTAAGATATAATTTCCAAATGTATTTTGTCACTCACTGGACTGCTAACAGGATCAGCTTTCTTTTTTTTTTTTTTTTTAATTTTTGGGACACAGAGAGACAGAGCATGAACGGGGGAGGGGCAGAGAGAGAGGGAGACACAGAATCGGAAGCAGGCTCCAGGCTCTGAGCCATCAGCCCAGAGCCCGACGCGGGGCTCGAACTCACGGACCGTGAGATCATGACCTGGCTGAAGTCGGACGCTTAACCGACTGCACCACCCAGGCGCCCCTGGATCAGCTTTCTTTAAGAAACGAATGGTCATCACACGTGTCCTGTCCATCTGCAGGACAGCAGGATCCTATCCAAGCCCTGTTCTTACCCAGCACCATCCAAGAGGCAGGCAGACTCAGATCTGAACACCTGCTGCCCTGGCATCCAGCCACAGTGAGTTTCGTGCAGCCAAGCTGGAGGGGATCAGGTTTGCCTGTCCAATGAGTTAAACAAACTGAAAAGGCTTTGCTGACAAAGTGGTGACAAATGCTCCTATGCTAATTAGGGAATGGTGTGCTCACATCACACCAGTTGTACATGTTTAATCCTGCACCAGGTGTCCCCTGTGCAGTTAAAATGATGTGGGGAATTAAACAGGCAGAGAGGCATGGGGCAGTAGACTCCAGGTCAGAAGAAAATATCTGGAAGCATGGAGTCCGGCCTGGCTGGGTTCAGCAGCTAGGACCCAGGACACACTGTGGCCCCATCCCTCTGAATGTCCCTGTTCCTGTGGATAGGGCCTTGCCCCAACCTAGCTGCTTTGGGGTCAGTATCACAACCAGTAGGTAGAGATGCAGAAGTGGAACAGCCAAAGTACATTTTTTTAGCAGCTCTTTGAGAAGGGAAACGGATATGCTTAATGGCCATGAATGTAAGTCCTTCAGTGTATCTTGAGTTGTTATGAAATAGATTGAAACAAGGTGACAACAACTGCAGTCCAGAGTTTATTAGGTTAGGCATGTGACATAAAACACAAAGGACGGCAGGCTTGCTGCTTGTCAAGGCGGACTCGATATGGCCCTTGGTTTCTCAGAGTTCCGAGGCCCTGTGCATCAGCCAAGCCTGCCCTCCCCCTGCCTGGGAAACAGTCGGGCCCAGGACAGAAAGACGTCCTGCACAGAAATCCCACGATGGCAGAATTAGTGGAACAAATTTCAAATACACAGATTTAAAAATACTAAATTCTTATCTAGCATTTGTGAAGGGATGACTGACATTTACAGTCCCATTGAGTGTCATAGAACAAGGCCTTGCAAACAACCTAATTCAAGCTTCAGTCAAATGTGCACCAAGAACCCAGTCCAGAAGAATGGTGGGCAAGATTTGTGGAAAGGAAATGCTTGCCCCCTTGCAGATAAAGAGGAACAATGTGGGAAAGATATTCTAGAGTTTTTTCCTAGAGGAGATGCGCATGATCCCCAAGAACAGGTCAAAACACAATGCACTTTTTAAAAAAGCACTTCAGCGTGTATTAGTTTTGGGAATCTGGAACAGAATATGGTATTTGATTACAGAATATGTGGAGAATTCTGATTATCGGCTTTTTTGTTTGTTTGTTTTGGTTGACAAATGCCACAAACCACATAGCTATAAGCAGTAGGTTTTGCAGCCAGACAGGGACAGATGTTTTCAAGGATCATATCTCGGATTCCCATGTTAATCTATTGTTTAAGGTGATGGAAACATGGAGGGGACATTACACCATTTTGCAGCTGCTAGAAAGCCATGCTTTCCTGTTTTCCTGATTTAGACAATGGAGAAGCTAAGGAGAAAAATAATAGGAAAAGGCTGTCCTATATTTGCTTTTAAAAATGCATTACTTTGAATGTAGTACATTTTTGGGAATCAAAACTCCTCTGTTCTCGGTTTTCACAGAAACGTTTATGGGAAAGAGGGTTGGAATAAAATCAGCTAATGATCACATCTATATTTTCCAAAGGTAACGTTCAGTGATAAAAGTGCAGGTGCCACCAGAATGAGTTCAAACAGGGGCTCCTGACTGAAACATAAGAATAGTAACACACATGTGTGTGTTTCAGGGACAGAGATTCATTTCCAACCTAATTCTTCCTGTACTGTGCACATACAACGCTCACATGCATGTTTAACTTTTTATTCCACCTTTTTGTCTAATCATGGACAGGATGTTAGCCTGCATCCCTCCCGTTCTTAAGGCAGAACCCACTTAAGTCACCCACTTGATGCTGAAGGGAAAACACGATGTGGATGTGTGGTGCCAGATTCCACAATTATGATGATCAGGCATGTGGGTGAACCAAAGGGACACCTGCAAGGCCATCTTTTGCCTCAAGGTCACGATGTTGAGCAGGGGTGGGTGCATCCTACAAAAGACCTCACTGGGTCCAACTCTTTCAAAGGCATTTTCAGATAATTGCCCCACCTTTGCTTTTTACACTCCTCAGATTCTGGAGCGAGGCTTGTCCAGCATCACATGTTCAAATGAACAAGAAAAAAGAGCAGTGATTATCTCTAAGTTCGGGAATGAACATAGTGGGCTGCATGTTTTAGGAGTCGTTCTCCCTTTCAATTATCTTCCTTGGGAGATGGAGAGAGGGGAGAGGGTGAGTTTCTTCCTAATATAAATTGTCCCAGAGCATCCTAGAATTATTGAACTATGGGAAATTCTATTTGGGCAAAAGTATCCATTGTCTTTAAGCCTGTTGCCAAATGGACCTGTGACCTTTTCCCCATCACCCTGGCCGTTCTGCTGCTCTGCAGGTCAGGGACAGAACAGCCCTCAGTCTGCCCCAGCCCAGCCCAGGCACACAGTTGGAGGAGTCTGTGCACAGCAGAGTCTACCTCTCCCATTCTCCAACCCCTCCATTTCCCAGGCTGTGTCATGGCCGAGCCACCCGGGGAGCTTCTGTATATATAAATGGACAGTTTGCCGACAATTAGTTTGTCAATGGCCACGTGGCCAGTGGTTCATCCACTGCTGGGTCCCCATCTCCCCAAACAGTAGTTCACATCCCTCATACAAAATGGCAGCAGTATCAAAGGGGAGAACAGTATTTGTTTGAGGCCAGTGGTTTTCATCAGATAAGGTCATCCAATTCAGGGATCTTGGCCACTGGTTGGAGCTTCCGGGAGAGAAGGTAGGGCTCATCTGCTCACGAATGGACTGATTCTGCTAGAGGGGATTTGGGGAATTATTTATCGGTCCATTTCTCCCCTTGTGTGTTTCACAGTGGGTATCTGCGGTCTGCCTGCCATCAGGGATAGGGCTTCACATTCCCACGCACAGAGGGATTTGAACACAAAAGTCAAAAATGGGGCTGGGCAGTAGAAGAAGTCAGACTCCGTAAAAATGAGAGAGCATGTTTGGGGACCTCAGGCAGTACAAGGTCCCACAGGCCCTCAGAGGGACTTAGGGGAAGCCTAAATAGGAATGTCTTCTTTCCCCTAGTGATAAGGGTAGAACTGTAAAAGCCTGGAGGCAAAGCTGTTGAATTTGCAGTTAGTTCAAGTAAGTGCACATATTGTCAGCAATGCCTCTGGCCAGCTCTGAATAGTGGTGTGGTTGGTTCCCACACAACAGACAGCCAAGGGTCCTGGGGCCAGTGGATATAAGCCTTCGTCTCCTGAGTGTTACACACCAGTATTTCAACTGAAACCTAAATAATATTAGATGTCTTTAAAAAGCAAAGTTCCAAACACCTTGCTAAGTCCTCCAAAACCTTCATCTTTCTGTATACTCACTCCTTCAGTTACTTTTTCCTAAAAAAAAAAAAAAAAAAAAAAAAAAAAAAAAAAAAAAAAAAAAAA